CCAAAGTCTAGATCTGTATTTTTCAAACTTCTGATACCTGGAGCATTTTTCCAGACTGAATTTGCAGGCACACTTAATTCTCTTAAGCTTAAAAGGGTGGCAGGGGAGTATTATTTCTTGACCACTCCCAGAAAAATGGGTGGGTTCCTTGCTGCAACTGTGGAGAACCCAGCTGTTACTGCCTCCACAGCACCACCCAAACTTTGCTCAGGTCTTAGGAATAGAACTGCTTTCTCACAATGGTTCAGCTTCTTATATTATCCCAATTACGGAAATTGGGATGCGTCTGAGACTCTCTCACACTTGTCAGTTGTCTTGCTGGCTCCAGTAGGAAACCCCTGTGCACCCCTACTCACCTCACTGGCTTGGCTTGTCCAGCATGCAAAACCAAACCTTGACTTAGTGAGACTGTGCAAATGTGGGGTCCTTTGCTCTTCCCTGGTCCATTCTGCTGCCACGCCGTGCTGAGCTAGGCGTGTTGTCCAAAGCAGACTCATGGCTAAGCTCTCTTCACAAGCTGTAACCTTCCCCACGGCGTCCCCTTTGTTGGACTCATCATTCATTGCTCTTTCCCCTCCTCCCATGTCTATTACTTAGCTAAGTCTTTGGTATATTATTGGAATGCTCGAGAATGCACCTTACATTGCCTATGGGTGTTCCTGTCAGCAGCTGAACCAAGCAGGAAGGGGAAAGTCCAACCTTCCTTTTCCAGTTCAGCAGCACCGGAGGAACTGTGTCTGGTGCAACCAGGCTTTCCACATGCAGTGGTCAGCTGTCATTGAGTAAAAAAGAAACAAAAGAAGCCGCTAATGAGAGGTTTCCTTGAGGGAGCACAGAAACTAAAGGTTCTACATCAATCAATAAGCTCAATAAAGTTGCAGCTATTATGGCCTACTTAAACATTCCGTGATTAAGTTCTTCATTTATTAGAACCAAAGCTATAAAACAATCAAACCTCTTAAAAGTCTGGTGTTGACAGCATAGGAAAAAAGCCATAAAATAGCAATCCATGATCAAAAAAGCTATTAAAGATACAGATAAAACCACTATACAACAAGCTGTGGTGGTATAAATGCAGATATTTTGTGCTTTTCTCAAGGTCAGGAATAAATGAACATCTGAAAGTATGCAGTCTATCTCACATAGGCTCCAGCGACTGCAGAAGACCTGCCAGACATTTTGGCTATGGAAACAAAGTGCTTCAAGATGCAATTAAAGAATTAGAATTAGCAAAAGTAAAAGTAAAATAGATAGCAGTGGACCTTTGTCCACCTCAACTGTAAGCATCAGCATTTTTGCCAACTATGGTTAGCTCAATCCAAAGTTTGCAAATCTGCAGCTAAGTGGGTGAGTGGTTCTCAGCTCTGGGAAGCAGGCTAGTTGCCTGTCCTGGATGGGACCGCCCTCCCTCAGAAGGGCAGGTGCAGTGGTACCTCGGGTTAAGAACTTAATTCGTTCCGGAGGTCCGTTCTTAATCTGAAACTGTTCTTAACCTGAGGTACCACTTTAGCTAATGGGGCCTCCTGCTGCTGACGCGCCGCTGGAACACGATTTCTGTTCTCAACCTGAAGCAAAGTTCTTAACCCGAGGTACTATTTCTGGGTCAGCGGAGTCTGTAACCTGAAGCGTCTGTAACTCAAGGTACCACTGTAGATGTCTTTTGCACACTCGTCACAATAATACTTAGCATTTATGCAGCACTTCTGAGCGTTCAAAGCTAGCTTTTATGGATATTGTACCCCTGGACACTGGTTGTGGGAAACCACAGGAGGGAAGAGTCTGCAACCTGAAGCGTCTGTAACCCGAGGTACCACTGTACATAGTTTGGTGGTGCTCCATGAACTACTGTTGTCCCTTGAAGCAGAGGAGTGCCTTTCATCAGCTTCAGCTGGTATGTCAGCTGCAGCCGCTCCTGCGCAGGGATCACTTCTCCACTGTAAGTCATGCGTTGGTAACCTCAGTATTGTATCACTGCAATGCACTCCAAGTGGGGTTACTTTTGGGTATGGGCCAGAAGCGTCCGCATCATGAACGCTTCTCTGATGTTCCATTCCCCCCTTGATGTTCTTGATAGAAATTTTAAACTTTTGAGCAGGGGTCAGCAAACTTTTTCAGCAAGGGGCCACAGCTGATAAAGGTTGCTGACCCCTGATCTATGGCCTTCTAAATTTGTTTGTCTCTATGTTATGTATTTTCGTGTTTTTATATTGTAAACCACCCTGTGATCCTCAGATGAAGGCATCCGTTGTTGTTGGTATGCTGATTTTTCTCTATTCTCTATTTGTCTCAAGTTTTTATACGGATGCCTCTCAATATCCCTCCAACAGCAGTCACTTCAATAAAACTTGGTGGCAGCAGAAGACAGGCTGCTCTCAAACACTTCCATACAGCAAAAGCATTTTTAACAATTGTCAGGGAAGAGTTAGAGTTAGAAGTTTCCAGTTTCCCAGAGGGAGAATGTTTTCCCCAAGGGGGGAAGGAGAGCAGTGAATCTAATAGATGAGAGCAAGAGGAACAAGAGGGAGGGACCGTCTGTTCCCAGGAAAGGCCAGGCTTCAGTTCTAGCTCCGATTGGGAGGAGGGGAGATACAAGCCAGCTCTAGCCAGGAGGGTAGGAAAAAGAGCGGGAAAGCGAAAGGAACAATGGCGCCTTCGCCATTTGGAGAGTGGCTGGTCATGGAGAAGCAGAGCTCAGAAGGTAGCTGAAAGAAGGGACTCTGAGGAATAATAGTTAAGAACTGTTTATAAGAATGTTTTGTTAATACGCAATAAAAAGTTTTATAAAAGAACACGAAGCGTTTCTGTGGTGATCTGAAGACGACAACGACCAGTCCTGACAACAGTGCAAGTCCTTCACAGGATGTGTGTCCCACTTCAGCAGTAAAAAGTACCGCAATGGTCTTCCTTTTTAAAAAATTCTACTTGCAATCATTCATTAGCCCCTTTCTCAAACACTTCAAAGCAATTCTCTGCTGCAGTTGTTACGATGAACTAAGGATCAGCAGGGGTCAGCACTTCAAAACACCAGAAAGGGAATGATTAATTATTCATTTTTCCTCATTTTAAAATAATACAGAAGACTAATTAAACAAACATCCTGTCCTTAGACTGCTGTGTGACTCAAACAGGCCAAGTGCGGACATAACCATGGTTAGCGTATGATGGAGATGACATGTCACTTATTACAGCCTTTTTGGGATCCACTAGATGTCCCTTGTTTTTCAACTCACCACCACAGCCACTTTCAGAGAACTCTACAAAACGCCTATCAAACCCCCAGAAAAATCTGAGAATAAGAGCTAACTATACCCTCAACAACACATTAAAATGCAACAGAGGCTAATTAACAAGAGAGTCATTACGTGTTGTACTAGAAATTGGGAGGCCAAAGCCCCTCAGCCAGGAAGCTCACCAGGGGACCCCCCTCCATGCTGTTGCAAGGATAATGTGGGGAGAGTGAAAGCCACAAGTGTCCCTAGAGCTCCTTGGAGGAAAGTGGGATAGAAATGTAATAACAAACAAAAAACATTGTGTTCCTGAATTGTCTTGAACTGCAATCCCTTGTTCATTCTGGGCCAAGTTATGCATTATATTACTCATATTCTTCAATATGCATAGAATCATGGAATCAGAGAGTTGGAAGGGACCCTGAGGCTCATCTAGTCCACCCCCTGAAATGCAGGAATCTCAGCTAAAGCATCCATGACAGATGGCCATCCAACCTCTGCTTAAAACCTCCCCAAGGAAGGAGGGTCCACCACCTTCTGAGGGAGTCTGTGACAGGGAAAACCAGCTGCCCAGCTCAGAGGGCCAGGCTTCTGTAATAGAGATATATAAGGAGCCAGGGCAGGTTCTCAGCCGCAGATCTCCATGGAGCCAACCCTGACCTAGTGAGTTCATGGCTAAGGCAAAATTTGAATGGGATGCTTCCTGATCATACACATTTACTCAAAAGTAAGCCCCACTAAGTTCCACAGGGCATCTTCTTAAGTAAATGCAGTGTCTGCAGCCTGTAAGAGCTCTCATAAACAGCTCTGATAAACGGATCTTGCAACAAGCCAACTTCTTTTTTAATCTCACTGAAAATCCTGCTGTGCCCCACTCTCAATTTTGTCCTGATATTGGAAACTCAATAAATGACTGCTAGAAATAGGTTCTGGGCTCAGCTCTGAAATATTGTAAGAATTCTTGAAGGCAAGAATTCCTACCAAGCATTGATTTTCACATGGAAAGAGGAAATAGCTTCAAGCATCCCATGACTTATATATCTCCAAAGACTCTGAGCTCTACATTGCTTATTCAAATCATACAGATCTCCAACAGGGAATTGGGGGAGAAACCAGCTCCTAGTGTTGATGATAAAGATTACAAGCTCTCTTTTCTATTGTAATTAAACCAGCAGAGTTTGCTGGTGACCTTTCAGAAACACATATTCCCTAAATTATAAATGGAACATTGATCCACTATCGTTTATTACAAAACTAGCAATCAAAAGCTCCTGAGAATCTTTTTATCACATAAGTGCATTTGTAACTTATCAGTCCATAAAGAACCCACTGGAATAAGAAATGCCAAATTTGCATAATCAGCTCACTTGCTACACAGGGCGACAAGGGAAATATTTATCTGGCCTAGTTCTTGTCAGAGTGATACCACTTCAGAGTGTAGGTTCACATAACAGAGTGCTTTCCTCACCATGGAAAACCAGATGATGGGGAGAAGCGCTCTAGCCGAGCCTCCTTTCTGACATGCTCCTCATGTTATCTGTGCAGATCCTTTCTTTTGAATGAAGAGCCATTCCATCACGTGAACACCCTGGAAAAAAATACATCCCAGACAAGAGATTTCCCACCTCAGTGAGGTCTAGGACCTGGATTCACACCAGACCCTGAACATGTGATATTGCTAATGGAAACTGCTGTATGGGAAATGGTGGGCAGAAAGTACCTCAAGCCAGGCAGCGTATAAGCAAGTGGAGAGATGTGTAAAGTTATTATTACCTCTGTTCCACAGATGATGAAAATGACCTTTGTTGAAAGGCTGGTTCAGAATCAGAAGGCAAATCTTCAGGTTTCCTGCAAGAAAAGATTGTATTGTTAATTCCTTGCACTACTTGGTATTCTCCTACAACCCATTTCTAGCTAATATACTGTACAGCCAGAAACCTAGAAAAGCTGCAGCATTATTGTGTATATTTTGAAGAGGACCACTTTGCTTTAAGTTTCATCTATTTGTGTGTATGTAAATATCTATGCTCACTTTAAAGCAGGGTAAAAAGCTTCATGGGTACATTTTAGTAATCTACTGACATTCAGTCTAAAACTAAAACAGGGATCCATTGTACTTCCATTAATACAACGTGCAGAAGACCAGTGTTCATCATATGAAGGGTAAATGATAAGAGCTTTCAAATTACTAGATTTACAGTGAAATTGAGCGGTGTGCTGCAGTGCCAGATTTAGCTTTGGGGACAGGACTGACTCCAGATTTAAAGGTCCCTCCAATAAAGTGTCCCTCTGGGAAGCCCCTGGCATCCGTTACCCCCAACCAGAAGGTTCGCTAGCATCTAGAGAAAGCAACAGCGCAATGATATGCAGTGAGCCATTTTAGATTTCTTGCAATGACCCAAAGTAGCATTGTTCCAGGATACAGTGGGATATTTTCAATGGTGGCATCTTGCTACAAACCAAACCCCAAGGAAAGGTAGGTGGGTATGATGAACCCAGTACAGGTATCAGCACCTATTGGCTACGCAAGTACACTGTGCCACTGGGGGAACTCTGGTTCAAAGCCCTGCTCAGCTAGAAAGCTCACCAAGTGACCCTGGGCAAGTAACTATCTCTTTCTCTCAGCCAAAGCTACCTCATAGGATTGCTGTGAGATGCAAACTGTACTCTGAGCTCTATGGAGGAAAGGGAAGGACATAAGAGAAAGAAAGAAAGAAAGAAAGAAAGAAAGAAAGAAAGAAAGAAAGAAAGAAAGAAAGAAAGAAAGAAAGAAACTACTTCAATGCATGTTTATTGAGAAGTCCCACCAGGTTCAATGGGATTTACTACAACTTAAGTGCACAGGATTGCACAATGCACTTAGTAGGGAGCAGACACCAGAGTGGCTGGAGAGACCCAGCCAGATGGGCAGGTAGGTAGGTATGTATAAATAAATAAATAAATAATATACCTGCAGCCATCAAACTGTTAGAAGCCAAATAGATGGTACAGCTTTTATATGGTGCTCAACAAGGTCCCTCTGCCTATTGCACACCACTAGAACTGGTACCACAAGGGACACGGGTGGCGCTGTGGGTTAAACCACAGAGCCTAGGGCTTGTCGATCGGAAGGTTGGCGGTTCGAATCCCCGTGATGGGGTGAGCTCCCGTTGTTCGGTCCCAGCTCCTAGCAGTTCAAAAGCACATCAAAGTGCAAGTAGATAAATAGGTACCACTCTGGCAGGAAGATAAACGGCGTTTCCGTGCGCTGCTCTGGTTCGCCAGAAGCGGCTTAGTCATGCTGGCCAATAAAGCGAGATGAGCGTCGCAACCCCAGAGTCGTCCACGACTGGACCTAATGGTCAGGGGTCCCTTTACCTTTACCTTAGAACTGGTTCAATTGAATGTTTTGAGACCAGCCCTACAAGTGCCTAAACACGTCTCCAATACTACCATACGTCTTGAAACTGGGTTCCTAAGAATTGAGGCCAGAGTATGGCTTCCCACACTTAATTATTGGCTGAGACTATCCTTCCTCCTGTGTGGCCTTGCTCCCTTAACTCTTAAGGATGATTTCCAAATGACATGGAAACATGCAGCGATCAACGTAACAACTCTAGGCTCCACCCCACAGATTCTACTTGACATGGGGTGTGAACAAGCTAGAACAACCATTAAACAGAACGCAGAAGACACAGAATGCCAGGCAGATCTAGCCGGGTCCCCAAAATTCTTAATCAGGGTAACCAGAAAATACCTCATCTCCCAGATGCCATATATAGCCAACCTGGAAATTCCCAAACAGCGACGGGCTTTCCCTCTGGCCCGTTGCCAGGGCCTCCCTTCAGCCACCCAGGAAGGCCGTTTTAGGAAGACTCCTTACGAGAAGAAGAAAAGGCCATATGACTCTGGGCGAGTGGAAACAATGGAACATGCCTTTTTTCACTGCCAATACTATACAGATCTACGAGCTAGGTTCATCTTGCCTATACTACACAAATTCCCAAGAGGTACAGAACAACTCTATAACTCCCTACTACTCCAAGGTGCAAACCTAGATATCACATCCTCTGTTGCTAGATTTTGCGCTGCCATGATGGACATCTGTCGAAGGATGGTTTGTGCCACAAATCAGGACTCAGAGTCGCATTTAACCGCTTGTCTTTTGTTTCTATCTGTTTTAATTTTATGTGAGTTATAATCACTTTTAACTTTTATCCCTTTCCTTATTAAGTCTTATGTGCTTAATTTTTATCTTATGCTGGTCTGCAACCGTAATAAAGTTTGATGGTGGTGATTAATAGGGAGTGAGCCCCACCAAACACAGTGGGATTTACTTTTGAGTAGCACACACAGGATTGCACTGTAAGTTACCAACCATCAGCCTGGATCTGAAGAATTACAAAACTGGTTCCATGAGACCAAGAGCACTTAAATATGGACCCGCCTCCACCTTACACAGCATCCCCTCCCCACACGAGGCAATTCCCAGAAATAACTCAGAACTGAACACGGCTCGTGTTATACCCCAGCCATGGTATATTCACAAATTGGCTGCTTGGCACTGCATAAGCCGCCTGCTTTCATCTAAATGTCATGTTGATAGAAGATTTCAGGTGTGTGTTTTACTCTTGCAAAGCCATTCTAAAATATTGTTCAGAACCCCAGCAAGAGGGGCAGAAATCTAGCTAAAATCAGAGGAGTAACCAGGGAGGCTGTTTACCTTCTTTTACAGTCTTCTTGTATAGCTGTAAATGAAGCAAATAATACAAAAAGGTCTCCAGTGTTTTCTCAGATAGTCCTGCCCCGAAACATCCCTGTGCTCTGGGAAGTGGGAGTGCATAACAGTATCTACATTACAAAAAGAAGTCAGAGAATGCAATATACCAAATGGATACTTGATATTTCATGCTTCAATTCCACAGAGTAAATACAACACTTAGTTTTAATAGGGAATGCACGTAATGGGACTTTGCATTTCTGAATTACCCCAAGGTGTTGTATAAAAATTTCTTGTTCTTCAGTGCCTCAGGCCATCATCTTAGCATACATTCCAGTTGTTCCCATTTCCATCAGATAGTCCCTATTTGTAGTCCTGTCTCTGGTAAATCAGTCTCTATTTCACCACTATTTTTCCCTGTCACATAGGAGGTGAGATCCTGGTGGTTTGAAGAGATGTTAGGTGTGAATTGCTGGCAACAGTCCTTCCCTCAGGAATCCAGAAGGCTGTAGAGACAAGTTTTGTTGCAGGTGGGGCAGATAAAGGCATCCGGTTGTGCTACTACAGGTGGACCATGGCATTTCTTCTCTCTGCGCTCCTCCCTGTAGTCATTCCTCCTCTGGTCACTGCTGTGGATACACAACCTGACTGTCATAACTATAAGTGGTCTATGTCACATGGCCACGAAGAGGGCAAATGCAAATATCAGATGCATAGTCAATGTATTTTTAGCCAAGTAGGGAATACAGGTACCTTGTATGAAACACTGATGATACCACATCTGAATGATGAAAATTGGTGATTACGAAGTACAGAGAAAAGCAAGATGGTTGCTGGGATGGAAGGCTATTATTATCATTGATTATATAGTTATTGGCAGTTTATCTCAGGAGAAGAGGAGAGACATGATTATATCCTAACATCAGGTGTAGAAGTAAGTTTTCATGTTTTAAAAAATCAAGGTTAAGAAATGAGGTACACCCTGAGAGGACTATGTGCTCCATTCTCTTTCCCAGGTGAATTCTTCTTTTCTTTTCCTTTCCCTTTCCACATCAAGCACGTTTAACATTTCATCTCTGCACCAAAACCAATGCTAATCGCGGTTAGGCTTATACCAACGTTTGAAAGAGGGGAGGCAGGAGAAATTCACAGGAAAGATAAGTATGTGGGCCTACTGATCTCTCACCCATGGCTCAGGAAATGGAACATCAGCCCTGAGCCTGCCCTGGAGTAATAGGGAATTGGGAAAGGAGAGCCAAGAGGGAAAGGATAAAGCACATTAAACACCCTGGCTTCCAGGTATTCCCAGCTCAGTTACTTCTGCTTACGTTCTGCAGCTGAAGGACTACCAAACACCCACACTCAACAACAATAAATTCTTTTTGAGTCGCTCAACAATATAACACAAAATCAGTTCTTGAAATTTCAGGTATGTGAAATTCTTCTGAGATAACGTATCTCTGACCTCAACAATTGCTGAGGTATACAGGGAAAGAGTTGTTCCCTCGGGTAACTTCTTACTGTTTTAAGTGCATTTTTGCTTCATTTTTATGATGTGCTTTACTTGCAGCTTTTGCCGACCGAGCAGATCCAGTCATTTGCAGCATGAGGAGGCAATAATAAATCTCAAGTGCAAGGGGAACAGATATAAAATCTAAAATGAGGCTTTCTCTTTTACATTTTGGCTACACATGCCACACAAATGCCACACACACACACACACACACACACACACACACACACACACAGAGACTTCCCTCAACAATGGCCATACAGTGGTACCTCAGGTTAAGTACTTAATTTGTTCTGGAGGTCTGTTCTTAACCTGAAACTGTTCTTAACCTGAAGCACCACTTTAGCTAATGGGGCCTCCCGCTGCCACCGCGCCGCCGGAGCACAATTTCTGTTCTCATCCTGAAGCAAAGTTCTTAACCTGAAGCACTATTTCTGGGTTAGCGGAGTCTGTAACCTGAAGCGTATGTAACCTGAAGCGTATGTAACCCGAGGTACCACTGTATTTCAATATACCCTCTCATTTTAAAAGTATTTTTGTCCCTTCAGTTGCCCCTTATGTAATGTTAGAGAACCTGTGAAGCCTTAACCCTCTATGTGCTTCTGTTTACAGAGCAAGGGTGTGTAGCTAATCAAA